ACATTCTACATTTTCCTCCACCTTTTGCCCAGACGCCGCCACGCTGACACAGAAACCGAAAAAAAACCACAAAGTGGAAAAAATAGCAAATTGTTTAACGCAAAGACGCGCTTCCATCAATTTGAATAAACAATTTGCGCGCATTGTCAAATCGCTTACATAATATTGCTCGGCTTTCGCTCAGACTTTCGTGTGTTTAATACGATTTAATTTAGTTGCTAACGAGCCTTAAAATTGAAAACAGTTTCCGTAAATCGGTTGGGTCCGAAACTGTTATTTTAAAAGAAAGTTGGACTTGAATCGTTTTTATTGAAAATATCAAAAATATTAGAAAAAAATATAACTTTTTTTAAATAAAAAAATATTTTATTTAATTTTAAAGGACTTAAGCTCAAAGTAATTTTATAAATAGATTATATCGTATATAAAATACCAATTTGGGTATCAATGGAAGTTTCACATAATATAAAAAAAGGTAAACAAAAATGTTTGTTTTTATCGGCTAATTGTTTCTGCAATGAAATTTCTAAATGTTTCATGATCTAAAAACAATTATATATTTCTACAAATTTTACCTTTAGCAACTTCTAATCTATCCAATAAAAATGGGGCACATAAAGTTTAAGATTTTGTTTTGCTTTGGTTTGCAATAAAATTATCTGAAACGCCCGGTCGAATAGCGTTAATTATTACTCATTACCTGCACGGGTTTTTCACTCTTTCTGGGTTTGTGTCCCACTTTTATCTTATCTAAGGAAAGTGGGGGCAGATTGTGCGCTGGGATTAAATAATTCCCACAAAAATAGGAAATATTACAGAAAATAGTGATGAGCCCTCGTAACTTTGAGGCGTCCGAGGCCCAATGGGAACCAAATACCGATGACCTTGTAATTGCCTTTCAATTACCTGACTTTCATTTGCATTTCCCCCCGTACACGGACCCCGCCCACAAATCCGCCCCTTTAACTGATAACCCCGAGATAATCTTATTAGCATTAACATTTGTTTAACATTGTGATTTTTTTCGCCCTGACGCATTGTTCAGTGAACTTTGGTTCTCAAAAACAACGAGGGTTCTCGCGCAACCGAAACAATATACTTATTTCATCCAGGCTATTTTATTTAATTGCGTCTTGAGTGGCACTTCAGAATATTATGAGGTGCTATATAGTATCTGGCTCCTTATTTGCTAATCAGGGAAAAGGAGTGTCTGCTGTTTAATCGTAATCAACGAAAAATGTAGACTTATAGTGGGTAGTGAAATTATTTAATATTTGCTTTGATTGTTAACTTTTCGTTTTGAACAAGTGTCTCGTGTAGAGAAACAAACAAAAAACACCAAGATGACTTAGGGAACAGACTTTAAATAACGACTTAGGAACTAGGGATTTTGAACTTTAGAGGCAACTATAAAATGCACTTTACAAAATACGAAGCAAATATGCAATCTATAATAAAAGTTTATTGTTATTATTTTTTTATTTGACTGAATGTGCATTTTATTTTTGTATAAAAAAATAACTTTATGAAGTAATGAACCCATATAAATACACATTTAGTTTTAATTTAGAAAATTTTTTCTTAGAATTATACAATTAACACATGCGTCTTAAATTCAAAATAGAGAAAAAGTTTTTTTTACTCACACTAAAGTTTATACTTTCAATAAAGAATATAGAGAAGTCAAGAAAACCAAATATCGGAGTTTTTAAACGTTAGCTTCCCACAACCGGTTTAATAGTAAATCGGTATTAACTGAATAAATAAACAAAGAAATACCAAGCGTAAACTTGGCCGGGTCACCCTATTATGAGGGTCGTCTCAAGGAATGAAACTGACCCTGACATTGACCCAGAGTGTTTGGCAAAACTACAGTTAGAAAAGGAAAAAGCCCCCGAATTTGAATTAATTATGCCTCGATAGACTTGCTGTCGCATTTAACATGCTAATCGTCTGCATGCAAAATGCGACAACCAATTGTGCACAATCAAAACAAAAAACAATCGCTTCAATTAACTAGGATTAAAGTAATTAAGTAAAACTGCAGGCCAAAATCGATGGAAAAAGATTGGATGTGCCCTTGAGTGGCATATATATAAAAAATATACAAAAGAAGTCCTATCATCTGTTTCGAATATGGTGCCTGCGCAGTAAATCCTGTCGAGAAGAACCCACCTTTCTACGTCACGAGGCGAGAGTTTCGTAACCACACGAAAAATCAATAATCCTGTGCTGCCACCCAAAAACTTTTGTTTTCATGCGACCTACGCCACCCAGTGGGAAAGTGGGCTAGGATTGCCAGCCAGACTCACCAGTAGTATGCGATTTGGTCGCCCAGACCGTTCCTAACATTGCGATCCAGGAGATTGTAGCACAGATTGGTCGATGCACCCTCCATCCATTTGATCGAAATGGGTCCCTTGGAGATGTTGAAGTTGTACTGGAGGAACTTCTCCGGATCTGCAGGCGTTTCCCAGTGGAACTGCTTGGCCACACGGGACCAGAACTCGCCAGGATTGTCCAGCGATTCCTGGTAGAACTTCTGGTACTCCTCGAAGCTGGATATGTAGGCGTTCTGGCTAATGGCCGGATTTGGTTGGTATATTGATTTTTCCGCTGGCATTTTGTATGTGATTTGTGGTTTTAGATATCTCTTTCAATTATTTTCCCTACTTTAAGGCTTGTAATTATCCTGTTTTGCAATTATCCTTAGCTTAGTGTGTGTTTTGTGATTGTTTTTATTAGCTTTGGGGTTGGTTTTCGAGCAGCACGCGCTTCTCGCACCGCACGGAATGAGTTCTTTTTGAGCACTGACCACTCGAGTGAACCACGGCCAAGCTTTTCGCCTCCGTCGACATAGCTTTCGGATGGCAAAGCTTTGATGAACACGCTCTTCAAGTTCATTGAGACATGGGCGGCGCTTTTTGGAGGGCTTATCAGCCTCTGGATCGGGCATAATTTCAAGGCGCGACTTGGTAAATCCTTATCGCTCAAGCACGGCGTAACTTTCCAGAGGTGTGTCTGTCCATCATCAATCAGGTGATGGCTGGATGCCGTGGCGTGTGCCATCGTCTGTCCCGGCAACAGTGTTCAATGTTATTTGCAAATCCGAACAAACACGCCGGTCCAAGCTGATCCGTATTTTTATGAAACTGAGTGATTTCGTGGACTCTCTTAATCTTTTAAAAATCGAGTTCTTATCTTTGAGTGACTCTCAGCACGTTTTCTCTTCAATCTTTTGGTCTTATCGTCTAGAAGGTTTCCATGGGGGAGCAGACGTCGTCTGCCACCCGCAGGTCAAGATGCCCAATTTAAATATAATATTTGGCTTTACTGTTGATTCTTATTCGTAACAAATTTCAAGTGCTACAACAACGTGTGTATGGCGATGAGTTTGGTTGGTGATTTTTGGGTATGCGTGTAGTATTTTCGAGCTGATAACAAATGCTATAGTTTCATTTAAGGGCTACAGTCAAGATGGTGGGATAGCTGCTGGTCTAGTGATCTTCACTGCTGCTCACAAAGGTTTTGTACTGCTCCTCAGTCATGAGTGCGTCCAGTTCCTTGGGATTCTTAAGGTCCACCTTGAAGAGCCAGCCTGCATAGGGAAATATTGTGATTATAATGATCTTGGCAGGGGGTTTCTATGGCAGATCTTACCCTTCTCATAGCAGCTGCTGTTGACCAAAGCAGGTGTGTCCTCCACCTGGGCGTTTTTCTCCGTCACCTTTCCACTGACGGGTGAATAAACCTCGCTGGCCGCCTTCACACTTTCCAGGGCTCCACATTCGTCATCCTGCTTGAGTTCCGTGCCCGGTTCCGGCAGCTGGGCAAAGACCACATCTCCCAGGGCTTCCTGGGCGTAACTGGAGATGCCTACGATGGCGTTGTTCCCAGAAACCAGCTCCACCCACTCATGTTTGTTTGTGTAGCGACGTTCTGGTGGGGATTACAGTTTTAGATTCATTGGGTATTGCATAAACCATGGATTACCTTTGGCCAGCAGGCTTGTCAGGTGGAAGGCGCGCCCCTGGACGGCGGCAAGGGGCGTGGCACTCATCTGACGGGCGGCCTGCAGCCCAATCCGTGCGAATTTCGTGATGAAAACCATATTTTCCAGTCAAATTCAAAGGCAACTACCGGCGAAGTGAGTTTTCCGTCCGCTCCCGGGGGTGTTTCGGTGACAAATGATCGGATTCAAAACACACACGTTACGTTTAACGCCCTGCTCTCGAGATGAAAGTCGAATATTGCCCCGGCTTATCAGAAATCAGACAATATTCTATGAACTTTTGTTGACCCAACGAAACAGCAGCTGCTTGGAAATGGGACTAAAAAAAGTCTTAGCGCCTGGGCATCGATAACAATAACAGTGTATCGGTGTATCGCACTACTCTATATATTAGCGGGTTGTTTAATAAATTCAAAAATCTTTTTATTTTTCTTTTAAACTTATTTCTAGTATTTGTAATACCAGTTAAGCTTACATAAATCTTTAACATTTCTCCACTCGACAATTTAAAGCAATTTCTTGTATTAAATTTTTGTATTTATTTGCTAAGTTTTAAAAACAAAAAAAAAGGACTAAATACTTTTTGTGTTTCCATGATCAGGGTTTAATTTAATTATGTTGACCAATTTCTACTTGAAATTAATGTTCATGTTTAATTGCCAGTTGAAATGTAACGTGTTATACTTTTTATTTATAAAATAAAGTAGCGAGGTTATAATCAAGCAACGCGTTGGTAATTTTCGATAAAACAACTTAAATACAGAATTCATTAAATTGTTTTTGCTGAACTTTTCTCTCTTGGTAAATTTAAAATACCCCTGAAATATAGAGAACGCAGCTCAAATTTGAATTGCGTCTCGATGTTCCTCCGGTATTTATAATCTCTTCCCAATTAAATCGTAGCTGGGGGCCGTTTTCCATCTTAATCGGCGACCCGCCTCTTATTAGCTCTTTCAACTAATAATAATAACCATATAAACAAATACCGTTCCAGTGGTGGTGCAAACAACTACAACGACTTTATATATTTACAACTGCACACTTATTTTGTTATTAACATGCAAATAAATAAGAATACCATGCACAACAATAGTTCATACTGATCAAAATTGAACTAAATCTTAGCTGTCACTTGGGGGATTATTTGAGAATTATACTATGGAAGAGGGCTTTTCGGAGGGCGCCAAAAGGCTTAGTACTGGCGGGGACGCAGAACGCCATTGGGACTGAGCTGCGGTGAGTAATCGGGCTGGGGGAATCCCGCGGTGGCCACCACAATGGTCTCCTGCACCGGAACCTGCGAGGATTGGCGCAACGGACGACTGTTCTGCGGATTGGGAGCCGGGTACTGCTGGAAGGCGTTGATGTCCCGGAAGCGGCGGTCCATCAGATTGGAATCCATCGACATGTGCGCCGCGCGGACAATGGCGTCCTCGTTCACCTCGATCGTCTCCGCCATGGAGCGGGTTTCCGGAATGTAGGCGGCGTTGTTATACGCCTGGATCTCCACCCTGTCAAAAAAGATAGGAAATAAGTTCAGTGGGGCTATATACTAATCATTTTTACTCACTTCTCCTCTTCATAAGCGCGAATTGGCGGCCTGGTGGTGAGAATATCATTGGAATTCTTGCGAGGATTAAACAAAGTATCCTGTAGGAAGAATGAAAAAAATTAAATTTTATAATATGTATATTATTTTAAGTTAAATTTGGGAACCAATTTTATATATTATTTTATTAAAATACATTTGTCGGCAATTTTCAATTATTAAAAAAATATTTTTTTGGGCTATTATTGTACTTTTTTCACCCCTCAAGCTTAAAGAAGTTTTTAAAACTTTTAAAAAAAAAACTTTTTTTTAATACAAATTTTATAAGACTTCATATATTACTTGGTGGCTAGAGTTCACTAATTAAATTGATATTCATAATGGTTTGCGATTGAAATTATAAACATATCATATAATACAAAATATCACTTTCTTTTAAATGTTTAATCTTTAAAGCAGTTTCACTTTTCTCCTGGCACAACGCAGTTCAAGCGAGCTCTGCCCAGGCAGAACCCCCCTCCGAATACCCAGTTAGTAATCATTTTCCGAGGTAAAACGAAGCCGAAAACCGGCGAACACGCTATCAGGCCAATGTGGGGCCAATTACTTATCAGCCGTTACCACCACCATTCTGAATTATTGGCGACAAAGTGCTAAGTTTAGCCATGTCGTAGTCGCTGCCCGAGGTTCTGAAATTCACTTTCTGCGTTGTTCGAATGTTTTCACAGACAATGGAAATTTATGGAGTGGGAGAAGACAAAGCCAGCGAGCATAAGTGGGCGATGAGCTCACCTGACTGACCCCGACCACCACTTACCACACCATCCTTATCGGTGGCAATGCGAGTGGCTCGCATCAGCAGGTAAATGAGCAGTCCAAAGTTGATGAACCACAGAACGAATCCCTTGAAGGAGATGATCATCATCGCAATGGCGGCTACTCCACCGGCAATTAGAGTGGCAGCCATGGGATCTACGGGACCAGCATTGATGCTATTGGCATTGTACTTCAGAGCCGCATCATTGAAGCGGCCGTAGTCGACTCCAAAGATCACTCCGGAGGCCACGTCCATGCAGCAGATGGCGGCCACGAAGAAGGCCCAGGAGTATATGGCTATCAGGGTCTGCTTTGGGTTATCCTTGCGCACCCCTGTAAAGGATACAAGATATCATAGTATTAATTAAGGTGTAATACATCACAGGTGGGTTTAATGAAATCGGAAAGTCCCCTAAATAATATCACCCTTCACTTAAACATGTGATACTTAAATGGGTTTACCTATTGGTGATACATCAATCAAACTTATAATTAAGTAATTAATATATATATTTTTGTATCCTATATTTTAATTTCCCTCTAAAGTTTGCCACGCGGAGAAATAGACATTTCCGAACATTGATCTATGCGAACAAATATCTCAGTTTTAAAACTATCTGGATGGAACTTTATTCAAAATTCTTGCGGCCTTGTCAGATACGCGGAACGACTATATCTTATAGCTTTCATGAAAAGGATCGGATTTTTGTAAATTTAAAAACGAAATTAAAGTGCTCTCCCCAATCGTTTCTTGTTTGATAAAGAATATAGTTAAATATTTTACAATTGTATAAGTGGGATCTGGTTGAATATCGGGTTTCTTAATTTTAAGAGAAGTCGAAAAAAATATGTTGACACAAAATTGTAATAAGATAATGATAGAACTTATTCATTGTTAACGTATTTGTTTTTAATTATCAAACATTAGATAAGGCATGTATTTGGTATGTATATTTGTATTCCAACTAAGTAAAGAATTGTGTCCCAATTGAGTCATGTACCTACTTGATAAATTACTATTTATTACTAAGAATATTTTCTTAAACACATAAATCTATTGCTAAAACACCCTATAACATTATCAAAAAAATCTTATTGATCTAACTTACACAAAGTCTTGCATTTTCATTAATACCAAATAACACCAATAACAATTCTCAATGCAAAAGTAAAGACTCTGATATTGTGGGGAATAACCATCAATGAAATTGTTATACAACCCACCATATAAGTTTCAAGCCTACTTATCATTAGTTTTTGTTTATTTAGCTTTATGGTGGACTTTTGTGGCATGCGTGAGTCTTCTGATTTTATCGTCAGGTTTGCCTGCCTGATAAAATAAATTCCTAGATTTCTCCTAGTGAATCATAAAGTTTTCGATATCTTAACCATATATGCAGTTCATTTCCGGTTTCCAGATACTCACACAGTAGCAGCACAATCGAAACGATGAGCCAGCAGACCGAAACTCCAAGGTATACGGAATCCCAAATCAATATCTGGCTGGGATCAAAAACGGTCGACACTGTATTCAGAATAGTTTGGTCGTAGTTCTGGTAATCGGCGGGGTTCATCCTGCAACCGCCCTTAAAGTACAGGTCGAAGAAGACTGTCTTGACCAAAGTTCCATAGCTGAGGTCATTCGTGATGTAGAGCACACAGTTAAAGGCGCATATCGCTGTAATCGTAAGACCTATCCAGATGATTGACTGAGCCTTTGGGGAGAGAATTAACATTAACAGGGAAGTTAATTAAGAAGAGTGGGAGAAAACTTATTGAGATTAAACTACTATTGTACTCTAAAATTGGCAAAAAAAAAAAGAGAAATAACATTTCGGGTTAAATTGTTCTTAAATTTAGGGCGATCTTCTGATTCGTAAGGGGAATTCCCCTAAAAACAGGGACAAACTATTTTTAGGTTTTAAATCATTTCTAAAATTTGGGTCGCTTTTTCATTATCTTTTAGCGATAACCTTAAATTGTTCTTGCTTTTTTTTAATAGTTAGGAAAAAATTTTAAAGCATTTTTTTTGTATACCATCTATTAAAAAACAATTTTTTTTTATTTTTAGGAGCAGAGGGTCCACTGAAACACGGGTATGAACTTGTTTGAATTTCTTTGCTTTCGTACAAATATTTTAATCATTATTTAAATTTGCAATTCATCATTTTTGTAAAAAGAAATTTCCCAATAAAAATAAATATGTCCGATATATAAAAATAGACTTATTAATTCGAAGTCCCCAAAAGTAAAAAATTATAAAAGGTCGTTTGCATTTCTGCTAAACTCAAACCTCCGAAAAATGTAAGGATGTAAAGGCTTAACTAAGAAAAACTTATCACTATATTAAGCTGGACATTATTTATTGCCAATATGTATACAACTATCTAGATGTTGTGTTCCTCGTGTTGTTTACACACGTCAATCGGATTGGTTATCTATTTCTTAAGCCGGGGGAATCGTCCCAAATGAGTCAATGCAGATTGTATAACAATTGGCTGACGATCAGATGGAAATAGTCTCTGCGATAGCGAGAGGGCATTCAATTTGAGTAAGTGGCTTCAATGTCAGCTTCAATATCTGTCCATATCTCTTATCAATGGGCATGGAATGGGGTCGCGGTTGCTTGGTAGTGACTGTGACAGTGACTTACGAATGTTTACTTACCACTCCGAGAATTCCGGCCCAGAGTACGGCCGTTTTGAGGGAGCCAAAGTGCTTGATGCTGGGCGCCGGTGGTGGGTACATATTGCAGTGACTGTTGGATCTACAGGGGTTGGTTTGGTTTGCTAGATTCTCACGCCCCCGGATGCGGGACTTAATCGATCTGAAAAGTTCGGGTTGAGTGCGCTTTTGCAATACGCGACGTCCGTTGGCCAACTGAACGATCGCACCGGACAATTTATTTCGCGACGCGTTTTGCAACTCGTTTATTTTCCGATAGCCAAGCGATAATGCCTAAAAAGCCAATTGACCAGGGACTTTTATTATTATTTTATATTTCTATATTTTACTGCGATTTCGAGTCGATATCCGCTCGCTTTTCGTTTCGTTCGTTAACTGAACGTTCGCTTTTCGGCCAAAGCATTTATCGGGCCTTAACTTTTGTTCTGTGTTCGAATGGTAAATATTGCATTATCGCTGCTGATAAGAATTTTGCTTCGGTTAAATTGTGGCCCAGAGAGAACTAAATCGAAAGGCTATAATTGGAGCGCTGGAATCTTATCGGCCAACTGTATTAGCACATTAGTGATGTCTGTCGTTATCATTGCGTAAATGCCAGTACTTAAATGATTACCTCATTGGTAAAGTATTTCAATTATTTGTTTGGTGAATTTTCAAATATTCAAACTGCGCGGGCAAGGGCGCACTCTGGTGGTTGGTAGATGAACCGAATCTGATTGACGGTGCATGACACACAAGACACGTCATCGCTAAAAGAGGTTAGACAAGCAAATATCAAAGTTACTCTTAGCCAAATATTTGCCAAAAAAATTTATATTTATTAAATCCCTCATTTCAGTCAAGAGACCTATTAAACATTTTATTTTCTGTAATATTATTTTTTGCCATCATGCAGATTGCAATGCCGTCATATTTTTTCGCCGTCTAATCGTGGTAGACCGCCCAGGCAGCCGCCATTTCCGTGGCGTGCGAGCGAGACGACTAGCGTGTAAATTCCCGCCATGCCAGGGCAGCGAGCGTGCTAGCGAGCGAGACGACCAGCGTTTGCCGAGAAGACCGCTGCAGCAACATACGCATTTTTAACCCTAAAAAATACAGCACCGAGGCTTTAGTACAGTCAAAGTGACGCCGCGACAACCCAGAACAAAATCGAAAATTAGAAACCGGAGGAGATTGTTGTTCCTGGTGTCCAAAAAAACGAAGAGCGAGTTGTGCTGTGTGTGGCTGCCCCCCCGATTAAATAAGCAATTTGCAGTGCCCAGTGCAAAAGTGCAGCTTGTCGTAATCGCCGATTAATTGAAAAGAAGCGGCTTGCAGTTGCGCGTGTTGCGCCCGCTAAAACCGAAGAACACAATCACTACGGCGTGCTCATCCGGACTCGAAACGCCACACGATGAACAACCAACTAAACCCGGCCACCTACCGCAAGTTCAACAATCTGCTCAGTAGCGGAGCGGTCACTGTGACCGGTCCCAGCCAGCCGCGAATCCTCAAGACGACGCGTTTAGTGGTTCCCGGTGGCGGCGGCGGTGGAGGTGGTGCCGTCGGAGTGGCCAGTGGAGGTGGCTCATCGGCCGGCGGAATCGGGCAACAGCAGGCGGTCAGCGATGCGGATACGGGAGGCCTGGGCGTCGGCGGCCTGGCCACGCGATGCTACATCTGCGACGACCGCTGCGAGCCGCAGACTTCGCTCACCGAGATGTGCACCACTCATACGGCCACCAAGTTCCCCAACAAATTGGCTCAGCTCGTGGGCGAGGGTTTCCTCGTCATTGTATGCGGCGAGGATTACGTGTGCTCGCGCTGCACCAACCTGGTGAACTACTATGACCGCCTGGAGAACGACGTGGAGCGCGTGAAGACGAACTTGATTAGTCTGCTCAACAAGAAGTATGCCATTAACGAGGAGGTGGGCCTGGAGGGCAGTCCACCGCTCAAGATGCAGAAAATGGTCGCGGGAGCCGCCAATCGCTCGCTGGAGGAGAGTTCTGGTGGGGATTTACTGCGTCCTCGCAAGGTTTTACAGGGAAATCCAGGTAAGCACTTAGTTTAAACTATTTCCAAGCATACTTTAAAGGTCTATCTTGTATTTTGTAGTGGGTCAGACCAAGATCGCTCCAGGAACCCCCCAGAGCAGCGTCCAGGGCACACAGACGGTCCAACGCAAGGCCACCAAGATCTACAAGTGCACCTCTTGCGACTACAAGACCTCTGACATGCGGCTGTTCAATACGCATTATGAGACCTGCAAACAGCAAACCTTCCAGTGCAAGACCTGCCGCAAGATCTTCCCGCATTTCGGGGCCATGAAGCAGCACATGGTGCGCGACCACAACACTGCTATGGACAACACTTGTGCCATGTGCCACATCAACTTTGTGAACGAGACCAGCCTGCGCAAGCACATGGAGACCAACCACGCCACCAATGTGCTGGTGACCAGCACAACTACCATACCGGCTGCTGCTGCCCCGGTGGCTGCCGCTGCGGCCGCTGCTGCTGCAGCCGCCTCTGAGAATCTGAACGTCGTCGGAGCTTCGCTGTATACATGCAACCATTGCCAGTTCAAGTCCACGGACAAGGGCGTCTTTGATGAGCATATGCGCAAGCACTCCGCCGGCAAACCCAAGCCTTTTAAGTGCCGATTGTGCTCGCAGCGCTTCGAGACGCGCGAAGCGGCCACCGTGCACGCCAAGCAGCATCAGACCAACTTTTTCAAGTGCGGTACTTGCTCGATGACCTTCCCCAAGCGGGAGCTGCTCGTCAAGCACTTCGAGGTGCATCAGAATCCGACGGCAGCTGCGGTCTCGCCCAAGCAGCCGGTCAGCCAGAACTTGAATACCCAAAAGCTGCTCCAGGAGACCATTGATGAGGCACTAAGCGATTCTGTGCCTGCTTCGGCTTCTGCAGCTGCTGTGGTGGCTACCAGCGAGGCGGAAAACAACATCCGCTTCTTCTCGTGTAGCATTTGCTCCCTGACCTTCATTCAGGAACAGTACTACACCCATCATATGGAGACCCATAGACGTGACAAGAAGGGAGCTTCGGCTGGCGCCACTGCCCTTAATTCGGCAGCCACTGCCTTGCTCAGCGACGAGCCCGGTGAAGCATCCGGTAAAGGAGACGAGGGCGGCGAGCAGAACGCCGAGGCCGACATTGAGAGCCTATTCGAGAAGCTTCACTCCGATAAGAACGAGAGCGGCGAGGCGCCAAAGCCGGGCAGCAAAGGCGGCGAAATGGTCATCACTTCGCAGGAGGGCAGTGGAGGAATCACGTTTAATATAACGATTCCACAACCAGACGGTGACCAGTCCCAAAAGGATTCACCTAATGCCTCAGCTCCTGTCTCAGTTAGCATTGACATGCCAAATCTGGATCAAGCCGAAGATGAATCCCAGTCGCAGGGCAGCATTGACGCCAAGGGCGAAAGTGGCGAGGCCTCCTCCGCCGACAGCAAGTCCAATGCCGCTCCCGTCTCCATGCCCAGTTTAGATGATGACAATGAGGCTGCAGCTGCCGAGGCTGAAGCCGCAGAGGAAACCAAGTCGACCAGCAAAGCCGGTCAGGAGAAATCCAAGGCCAAGGCCGGGGAGAGCACCAAGTCCAAGGAGGCCTCTGCAGAGGAACCACAACCCTCTGACGAAGGGGAGAAGCGTGAGGCCACGGACACGCCCACAGCCGAATCGGAGGCTGCTGCTGCGGCCGCAGAAGGAGCTGAGTCTGGGGAAGGCGAAGTGACCGCCGGGACCGGAGCCGAGGGCGAGGCTGGGGAAGCTGCCGGCGGCGAGCATGTGGCCATGGAACTGGATGAGGCAATGCAGGCGCAGGTTGATGGCGGCCAAATAAAGTTCATCGTCAACGAGAACGGCCATCTCCTACAGCTGGACAACCACATCCTGACCGACGCCGAAGGTAACCAGATAATTGTGCAAGATCCCGAGCAGATTCAGCAGCTACTGCAGAGCGTGGGTGTCCTACAGTCCGGCGAAGGACTCGAGGGCGAAACCATTCAGATGATGACCGATGGCAGTGGCCAGATGGTACTTGTCCATGGCGACAACAATGAGCAGCAGCTGATCGATGCCTCCCTGCTGAATTCCGAGGGTCAGTTGATCATTCAGCAGGGCCAGGATGGCGAGGAGGGCGCGCATGTCATCAGCGAGGATGGAACCCGCATCCCAGTGTCCGTATCGTACACGGAAGATGGCCAACCCATCGTGCAAGTTCAACAGCAGGTCTTAGAGGCCGCTCAACAGGCGGCAGCCAGCGCTGCCAGCAGTGCTGATGATAAGGAGGGGGCTGCCGCCTCCGCCGGCGAGGAAGTGCAGGTATCGGAGGCATCCAGCGCTACGGCATCCACCACCGTGGTAGCCACCAGTACGGCCAGCAACAGTGGCGGTGCCTCCGGCGGCAGTTTCTTTGCCCTGGAGGAGTTTACGGACGCGAAGGCCGACTAGGATTGGCCCTAGGAGCGGGGCCACGACCACTACACCATACTGGCATGCGAAGAGGAATGGTAAGTTCGAACAAACACTGAGCTAAGAAACCAAATTACAACTCCTTCATCTCTTGCAGGTTTTAGTTGTGGGCGCGCATTTGGTCTATGGAGGACTTTTGCACACCCCGAATTACATCAAACACTCGGACACACACATAAAAAACCGGAACCCAACTTTACAGACAACTGAACACGAGACAGAGATACGCATGAACCTATTCAATATATATTTACATTTAGCATATGTATTAAACACTCCAGTAAACTAAACAAACGATTTATTATTCACGAACCAGAAGATAAAAGTAATTCAATCAATCAAATTGTTCATTCGGTCCGTTTCGCTCTCGGCTGCCAGGGATCTCAATCCAGATCGCTCTGGCTGCCTCTAAAAAATCGTGTCTAGGGTTAGTAATAGTATAGGCAAAACTGCAAGATAAAAGCGACAACAAAAATTGTATAAGCATAGAGTTTATGTGAAATACTTTGGATATGTTTAAAATATGTAATTACACGCCAACACAACACACAAAAACAATTACACTAAATAAAATTGATTTAAACAAAATTGGATAGGATTTGAAATTGGCCCCACACCGACGTTGCTGCTTCTTAAAAACTCGTGATTCCCATAAAATTGTACTGTTAGGTGAATGTTACCCGTAACCCACTTTGAATAAACCCCAGTTCCAGACCCGACACAAACAGATACACGCCACAAACACACCCAGAAAATATATATGTCAAGCAACTTGAAATATATTATTGTAAAAAAAGAAACGAACATCGATTCCATGTTTCTGTTTACTTTGTGAGCGATCTTTGGAATTTGGTATGCATGTAAATCAATTCAGATAAGATAATTAACAAACTTTGTTCCGATGAATATAGATGGCTCATAAGTCAGGCGGCAACCCCAACGTTTAGATATTGTCAACATCGATGAAAACATTCATATTTCAGTTCTGGTGGGCCATTGACCTTTAAAAATAGCTTAGTCAGTTATGAAAAGAAAAAAAAATTTGAAAAATTCATATTTAATAGCGAAACTTTCGACTCGCTCTTAATTGCTCGACACCTGTTGGCTATTGATGTATATTTAAATTTTCAGGTAGTTGATTAATCAGATTTAATACTAAGTTGGATTCTAAACCCCCAGCGGTGGCATAAAAGCAGTATAGACTGTCATTAAAGCTTTATGAATGCCCCGTTCCGATCCATAAATCAGCGACTGTTGAGGCTATTAAAGTAGCAACCGAAAAACTGCAACCGGATTGGCACGTGGATAAGGTTTCAGCTAAATTGGTCGGCGAACATGTTCAGATAGATCGAACTAATGTTTGTTTGATAGTTTGGGATCTAAAAATAGGACGTACACAAATTGGCCGTCTTCGCCTGCGGGTATCTAATGCATATTTAGCGCTTAATGGATCTGTTGAGAGGAAGATCAGATAAGCGAACCAGCTATGAATAATTCATATTCGAATATGGGTGATATTCTACCAACTGACTGGAGAGTTGAGTGCAGCGGCAACATTCATTCATTTACATGATGAACTTTTGGAGATGCCCGCGGTAATCTCTTAGCGATATTTGTGTGTCCCAAGGCCGGAACAAAATTGGGGATTAATTTGAGGCGTGCATCAATCAGCAACTTGTTTCGGTGACATTAAACGGTGTCAACTTAATTTGGTTTATTAGTCTGGTTACACAAAGTTGGTCTTGAAGAGTCGGTCAATATTATGCAACGGCCTTAATTAAGCTCCCACATGCAAATGAGTGGTAACAGGTGCAATCTTCTTGTTGATTGCCTCAAAAGCGAAAGGCGTTCTTAAAGACAAGGCCGCAGATCGGATCGGTATACTATGACATTTTTATAACAAAGAAGCCGGGCCAAAAGTGAACTGATAAAAGCTGACATTTTAGTGCGGTTAATTTCTGAGTCATTAGCATAGAAAACATGATTTTAACAAGTTATGCAGCCATAAATCCAAGAATTTTAAAAGAATATTCTAAACATAATTCATAAGCATAGTTGCCAGTTTCTACACTGGAAGAAATTTAATTGTTTATATCACGTGTTTTTTTTCCGCTAAAATGGAAAGGCCAATATTTTATATAGTCACTTTCATGTTTTGAATGCTTACTTTACTTTTGATCTTAAAATTAAAAGTTTTCAATATTTTTCATTTTTTTAACTTTTAATAATATTAGTATTTTTTAAAATAGTTCACCGAGTTTTCACAGCACACGTAACCTCATATTACCACAAGTGCAATCGCTAAAAATTTCATATAAATGTTTATTAAATTTTTTCAGTTTCCCAGTTGCAAAATGTTGTTCGAATTTTAATTGTTATTTATTGAATATACTTCCTTCCTATAGATAAACTTTCCGGATTTCCAGAACTCAAATCAATTAAGTCTAGTACTTTATTTATATTTCTAGAAAATTTATTGGCTTGCTATATATTTTGGCATGATTTTCTTGCTGGCGCAGTTGTTCTTTCGTATGTTCCATTTGCATGGAGAAACAATAAACATAAATACGAATCAAAAATATTACCCAACTGTAACGATGCTCGGCCAGCCGTTCGACAGCTATTGAAGCGTCGATATATAATTGTTTTTATATCCGAGAGTTTTACCAACGCCTCGAACGAAGCTCGTCCACCGGCGGATGTGTGCGGATGTACTCCAACTGGCGGATAACGTGGAGCGGAATGGCCGGAATCTGATCGCCCGTGGGCTGATAGCCATTCGCATCGGCGACGTAAGAGAAGGTTACGGGAATACCTTCGAGGGATACGAACTGGACCACTCCGACGGCTCCGTTTTCATTTCCAGCCCCCTTGGTGGTAATGCCATTGGTGGTCTGGAACTCGAAGTTGTAGCGACCAAACGGATCTGGTGGGGTATTCCGGTAGTAGATGGTCCTGGCCGAAGATGCGGCAATGGCTCCGGTACTGTGATGCACGTGGATGAGGGCCAGGAACACCACAAGCTGGTCGAGTATGTTTATTGGTTTATTTTATGGTTTATTGGAACAAATACAAATCACATAACAGAGCACAAACCTTGCCGAACGACATCATCATTGCCTAATTAATATTATTCCAGATCTTTGTTTTTACGGTGCGGATCTTGAACCTGAATAACTTATACTGAACCTGAATCAAAGTCAGTATCCCAGTTTAAACCGTTATAAAGCAAGCAGCTAATGCGACGCGATCTGCTGCGCTCGAAAGTTAAATTGAAACTGGCCAAAAACTCATTTGACCAGGCCGAAAAGGAAGCTTTTGATTGTGGTTAGAGGAAGCTTCAGCTAATCTTTGAGCTCTCTTGGAACTGTTCTCAGAATATCAAATGAGGAAGCATAACCCAGGAATCAGTGCAACCAAAAAGCAGCCGCATTGTCACCAAAAAAATACAAGTTTTAAGCCCGGGAATTGATTTATATTGATTTTGTGCTAATACCGGCTATTATAGCCTGACAATGAAGTTGTTTTGGATTTTTCGGGGTCCATTTGTAGGTGTGCCTGCATAGCAAACCGAACTGAAATCGAAAGCTATGCACAGTGGTTTCACTGTGATTCACATGTCTAACTTGCGGACATCCCGCCTCTGACAAATTGTGCCATTTAGTCATTTAGTTATTAATTTATTATAATTAAATTCTATTTTCGGCTGTAAAAGGTCATGGTTGAAATTAAGCCTTAACTAAAAAGCCAATACCAAATATATTAATTTGATTTAATGAGGCGTGCTAAATATGCATATAATACGTCAACTTTGATTATTCGATTAACTGTTTGCGATTTAACGGGAAACTGGAAATGCTAAAGGTTTACTGCATTTATCATGAATAATTCGGGTTTTTTTCGGTTTGATGAGTTATTTACCCAAGCAAATAACTTCTGTTTGTCAGGGGCTTCAAGCTGGTTGTTTAGACTTCTTTCAAATGAAATCCCTGAATAGTAAATTCTGAAATCAAACAAACTTTAAATAATGATTTATAAATATGTTAAAAAAAAACTTCTAAATAAGTATTTATATTGTTTTCTCATTTAGTTGCGACTTTTGTGAATGCATTACTCAATAATGAACATTTTCCATTAGATATTTCGTTTTATGGTCACAACCAATTCATCACAGAAAATAGGAACGTTTTAGTCATTATTTCGTCCCACTGTGTGGAATATGGAGCTAAGCAGACATAGACCTTGCACAACTTATATGATTTAACCCCGCACCCCGTTGATTTGCATAGCCCGACTTTACAACTTGCCGCTCGTCAAGCTCGTCAAGGTGTCGGTACGAAGAATCAATCAGCCCATCAATCAGAATTCATGTGTGTTTTTGCCTAATGAGATTTGCATTATGTTTGTTTGTCCTAAACACTGTTTGCTAATTAAGAAACAACGCCTGTGTTTTCGAGGATTTACATAGCAAAAGGGGCACTCGACGAAGAGGAAAGCATGAAGCGAAAATAATCTTCGGCTAATTTTCAGACATAAATCTCCAAGTCAAACGAGTTGAAATCTTTTTTTGCGGACAACATTAATTAAGTAACACAAATCGACGCCAAATAGTTTAGCCTTAGAATCGGTTGCGAAACGCAAACACGAAAAACTAGAAAACTGAAATCCAAATCGAAAACTACAAATGAACTGCCTTATCCAGTTCTCCTTCTGCCAGAAATCATCATCTCATCGTGTGTGAACTATTAGACAGTTGATGGCGATGACTCTGCGGGTGACCCCTTGGGGCATCTGACACATTTGAGAACATAAATTTAGACGCATGTAAACAACGGCTTTTTATGTCGAATGTTCTTCGAAAATTATCATAATTTATGCTATAGCATAATCTCTCGTATACGGAGCAAAAAACAAAAGACTCAGGCAACGAACTTGCTGCGACTGTATCGAAATCAAGAATCAGTCTGCTTTTGAACCTGTAAAGCTATAGAGCTTCAGTCTCTATTATTCTCTACACGGAACTGTTCGCTAATTATGTTTCTTCAGCCCGATTAACAAATCAAAAATCGTTAAATAGACTTCTGTTAATCCAAATTCCATACCGCTGTTATAATTTGACGGCCTATTTTCTACGATTTTATCGCATTTGCTGTGATTTTTATGATCAACATTTGCATTCGCTTCAAAACAAGAAAAGGCTTTAAAAATTATATTAATATTTTTTATGGGAATATTTCAAAACATGCTGGGCACCCAAATGCTTCCGTGTTTGGAACCACGGGTGGTAAATTGGACAAGTGTAAAAAGCATAAACTTTTGCTAATCGGTTACATACTAATCTTTAATCTGTGTGCAGTTGTTTTCTCTATGTGATTAATTTCCAGCCAAACAAGACATTTTACTATAACAGTTAGAAAGGTGCAATATACCCATATGGTATTATTAATTCGATTGAGTTTATTATAATAATTTAATAATAATAAAACCAAAATCGGAACCTCTGCGATCGTAAATTTCCAACGTTATTGGCGCCAGATCTTCAAGAACTCGAGCTACTTAGCACTTTTTATTATCATTTTTATTTGCATTTGACGTATGAAATCATAAAAAATGTGAATAAGCAAACATGATAAACGGAAATGAATAATATAGTCGATTCGATATGACCCGCTATCGAGAGCTAGAATTAGTGGGCAGGGTAGCCACACACAGCAGCATTTATTTCAGATACGCTACAAAAGACAGAGCCAACGATTATTGGCATTTGGTTATGCTTATTAGATTTTCGTGGCTTACGTTTTGGCCCGTTGTTTACCACATATAAATTGGAAAAGGCCAGCTGGCCCGACTGGCAGTACGGTGGCTAACTTTGAACCTCGCAGACGTCGAACCTCCGCAGCGCATCGAACCTTTAATATCTGATCGGGAATTATTACAAAATCAGTCATAAATCGCCGCGTGCCTGTTGTGTTTTAGTGCCTGTGCGAAAAGATAAAACAGATAACCGAGAAATATGCGATATTTTGTAAGCATTTTGACCCTGATCCCATACATGTGTTCCCTATCTGATTTGTGATCTTTGTGGCTGATAAGACCTCTTTTGGTTTCAGCTCATTGGCTTGGTGTTTCTGGCCCTCATTTGGGTGGAAGTGGATGCGCGACTGGTGAGGGTCCGCCGGATCCGGAGATTGGTGGGCGGCGATGAGCGGGATGCCCAGATAACGGACTTCCGGGTCTCGCCATCGGATGACGAGGGTGTGTTCAAGTACGCCTTCAAGACCAGCAACGGCATCGATGTCCAGGCGGCGGGATCTCCCCTGGAAACCATTGGCATCTATAGCTACACCTCGCCCGAGGGCGTTGCCATCGAGACACGCTATATAGCCGACGAGCTGGGCTTCCATGTGGTGGGCCGACATCTGCCTCAGCCACCGCCCACGCCGGACTATATCCTGCGATCCTTGGAATATATACGCACCCACACTGAGGACGGCAAGCTGAAGAAGCCCCAACTCTTCTGAAGTTCCTGAAGGAGCCTGTCCACCATCATGTCCAACATACACATCGATTTGGATGCAAGTGTCCAAGAAGAAGGCTGAACATACCATAGCATGTACTAATCACCAACTAACTATAGCATCTTAAGACTCAAGACCTAGACTAAGTTGTTGCTAGATGTTGTAAGCTCTCCGAAATGAGCAAATGTTTTTCGACCGCGCCAAAACCTTGGGGATGTTCTGCTTGGGTTATAAATCAATCCATCCATTGATTCTTTAGCGGCGTTAATTTATGGTCTTTCTGCCCATAAAGAGCAAACAAAGGCACGCCCAAACAGAAAATCTCAATATCGCTGGTGACCCCAACGAATTCTAGTTTGTTATCCCATTAACTGCTAACAGCTTTATTTGTCAGCGTGTCTGATTAAAATTTACGTCTATTCTCAGATATGGAAATTTGATAACTGGATGGAAATGAGTCGCGGTTCTGTTTGGCGACCTTTCGATGACTTAATAATAAGCGGTAATTTCTTTCCGGGTAACAGCCCATCTCCAAAAGAGCGCCGGGGAGCATTTGCAAAGTTTCGAAACAAGTTCGGCTGGCTCGAATTTAAATACAAGCTAACATATTTTTAAAGCGAATTAAACAATGCGAATTGCGAAAACATTTGTTAAGCCTTTGTGTTTTTTTTCAGCTGTTAGCCCAAAAGTATAGTTTGTTAAACATGCTAATTTTCAGGCTGTTAATAAATACGAATGTATATGTTTATAAATTAAACTTCACCATTGGATACGTTTTAAATAACTAAATCATTTGCAGGAGATAGATCTGATTAAATAATAATTTATCAGTATTTACCTTCTTTTTATGTCCCAGAGATATAATATAAATGTGAAAAGTAAATTGAGATAATAAGATTTAAAAAGTGTAAAAATTGGAATGGTCATTCAATGTGTACATATATGTACAGAATGGAAATTAAGAATATTCTTAAATATATAGATAGAGATTTTTAATTTGATTAAAAATATATAAATAAAAATAACAAGGTTTTTTTCTAGTGTATTTTTAGAATGGTTGGACCTAAAACATAAAAGATTATTAATATAACAACAAAATTTCATTTTTAAAAGTTAATTATGCATAAAATTAGGATAGACTTTAAATGAACATTTATTTGTATGAATAAGTTTTAATATATTTCCTGATTTTAAATCTCTAATTAATAAATAACAGCTGTTAATCAAGTCAATTAAGAGTGCGGGAGTAACCTTAATAATGATTAAATAAATTAAAACGGGAGGAGAGATGAAAAAATAAATAAGTAGAATTGCAAAGTCAAATTACATTCTTTTTTTTTAATTAATTTTTTTATTTCGAATTAATTGAGTTTACTTTCCCAAATATAATAAGAAGTTGTACATTGGATTTTCTACAAAGGAAAATATTTATTTATTGATAACTATTCGCTTTTGTTAAATATTTAAAAGTTTCTTAACCATCGACATCCATTTAAAAGTCCATTTGTATTTTTTATGAATAAAATCCGCTTTTTTATTAAAAAGTAGGATAACAATTTTGGTGCTTGAAGCCTAATAGTTTAACCGATCAATAAG